TTTAATAGTGTTCGTTCTTCAATAATGCCTATATTACGAACAGTTCCTTCAATGATCAACCAGTTCTTCTTCTCTTTGTCCTTTATCAAATTATTATTGTTATTATTATTATCATCATCATCATCATCATCATCATCAGTATTATTATTATTATTAATATTTATTTTTAGTTTTGTGCGTCTCCTCATGTGAATACATTTTTAACATGATAGCCCACCTCCGAGATATGCTTCGCTTATCACACAGAAAGGTTTCAGTACGAGGCTACGTGGGAAGTTAAGTTCATTCTTTTCTCCTTTCATCATTGAGCATTATGCAGAAGCCTCGCATTGAAACCTACGATGGCCGAGGAGGGCCACTTCCGAGTTCCGACTTCTGAGTTTAACTACTTACGGTTATTACTCACAATTGCTGTTTAATTTGAAATATTTCTTTATAAGTCAACCATGTAACATGTTTAGGTGACACTATGCAACATAAAATGTTTCAAACAAACTAGAGAACCTTAATAAGTGAGATATTTACCATAATTTTGACTTACGACTTACGACTTTCAAGTTCCGACTTCTGAATTTCGACTCGTTCCTAATCGCATTTCTTACTCTTTCTGTGTTTTAAACCAGTAGGGATTTATGTCACGATGATGTTAGTTGTACTCGTGTTGTCCTTTTGTATAAAACCTGTATAAATCATGTGTTTTGCCAGCTTACTTACTTAGATAACGGGAGAGGGAAAATATTTTATTGTTGCCAACCTATAATGGTATGTTATCCATAGTACAATCAATCAATCAATCAATCAATCTTTCATTGAGTACCGTTATTGAAAGGATATTTACATACAATTGATATATAAAAGAAGATTGGTACTAACCAGTTGTAGTAGCCGTAGGCTAATTACAAATTTAAATTACTTTTTTTGGTCAATATTTACAATGTTAAATAATAAATAAATAAATATAAATATAATATAAATGAAGAAGAAAAATAAAATAAAATAAAGAATATACATAGAAAAAAGGACAAACAAACAAACAAGTAGGTGGCCTAGTAGGAGTCAAATTACAATGGGAAGTTATTTGGATCTTTTAAAATCGAAGCAAATCACTTCTCTCAGGTTATGAGAAAAAGCGATTTACTTCGATTTTAAAAATTTACATCTTTAGTTTAATAATAGTAATAATGATGTTATAATTATATTTTGCTGGATTTAAGAAGATTCAGAGTAAGATCTAAGCAAGTCGTTTTTCAATTCCTTCTTGAATAAAGATTTGCTTAGACTTTTGAGTCGGTCATCTAAGGAATTCCACACTTTAACTCCAGTGAATCTTATATTAAATTTGCCATAATTGGTTTTAATAGGTGGAAGGGAGAAAGACAACTTGGATGCAAGTCTTGTATTATAGTTATGTGTTTGAGAGACTTTAACAAAAAATGAATCAAAAATACTCGGTAAATCGCCTGAATGATAATCGTACATAACAATAGCATTATAAAAATAAATGAGATCCTCGAGCTTTAATATTTTTAACTTTATGAAAAGAGGGTTGGTATCATGGTCATTATAGAAAGAAAAAGTTATTATACGGACAGCTGTCTTCTGTAAAATGAATAAAGGTTTGATTGTAGAAAAGTATATGTTACCACTGACTATTAATCCATATATATAAAAAGGATATATAAGAGAATAATAAAGATTAGTGAGAATTTCTATCATTACTGTTTCATTAGAAACACC